TAGTTTGGAGTCAGTGTCTTAGGTTGCGGCTGGTCACTAATCCTTTGTACCTCGCGAAACGCTCCCATACGACCAAGCGTCGGCTGAGCAAGCCCTACCTACTGCCTTCTCCTGGCGAATGCGTTTTCCCTCCAAGGTGAGAGGATGAAAAGCCAAGATCAGGAACTATAACCAGGTCGGTAAACCACTATTAGTTTACCTAAGGAAGTTGAGTAAAAACCCTGATTCCAAACCAACCAAGAAGAGATGCACACACCTTTCTGTTAGTGCTAGTGGTCATCGGCTCGATTTGGCATGAAGGTGTATTGGGCACCTTAAACGTCTGACCCCGTCCAAAGGGTGTATGATCTGATGAACTGGACTGCGGCTTTCGGGCATCGCCCTACTGCCTTGTGGGTCAGGCTTTGGCTAGCCGAAGGCTTTGGTTATGAATTCTCTAAGACAATTTACCGATCTTGACCTGGGCAGTATCGTGCCCTCGAGAACCTCATATATATATATATATATATTTATATATATATATACACTTAAGTGGGCCCTAGCGTCGAATTAGACGCTTCTAACCCACAACACCTGATACAGAATCATCGTAATAATTCTTTCGAGACTTATTTATCTCAATTCCACTCCCCAAGCTGCAAATTAGGTTTGCATTGCATAATTCATATCGGGAGTTCAAATGTAAGAATGACCAGACAGAAGACCACCGAATACGCATACCTGACGAGCGGCAAGGACCGCGAACCGGTCGTGTGCTTCTGGGGAATTTCGTCCAGTCCTTCATATACTCATTATATGTATATATATGTGAATAATGACGGAGATAATAATGATAAATGCAATTGATAGACCTTATTGTACTCATCGAAATACACGAAGATGAACTTCATGGATCATCGCGTGATTCACAATGGAAACGAAGTAAATTATAGTATAAAAGATGGTTGAATAGTGAGCTTGTTTTGATGCAAGAGATAAAAAAGCGAATCGCTTGAGTCCGTGTATAGTTTGCCATGGACACCTCTGGGGCCTTTTCCTATGAAGTGGGAAGGCAATGAGAACCTCAAAACCGATACAACCATTAGTCATTATCATCGTACAGCCTAATACAATGAAGCAAACTTCACTGATCGCTACCAAACTCATAATGCCTACAAGGTAAGTGTGAATGTGTAAGAAGGATAGGGATTGGTCCTTCGTGATGGTGTGTGTGACGTAAAGCGATGATGCTTCTGATAACGGAAATAACCACCTCACTACAAATTCTCTATTGTTATTTATCCATGTCACATCTATTTGTTTACTGTCGGTCCACCGAAAACCGGAACCAATTAATTGATCGGTCACTCGTTTTTGAGCAACGTCATCCATCTGTTGGTTGCCAAATTCCCCAAATCGAAAAGTTTTCCAAAGTTCAGTTCAGTTTGCACAGGACGAATATGGCTCTTGCCAATCGAGCGTCCAGTTTGTTGTGTTGTCGGGGGATGGGAGTAGCTTCCAACACCGCGTACAGTTGATTTGGTATTTGTGATCCTCCCAATTTAACCCCGTTTCCAGGACGTATTCTCCTAGGGGGTATGCTGAAAGGGAGGAAAACATGCAAGGATATCTCCTCGTCTCATTGGTTAGGGAGCTCAAGTACACATGCGTTCGTATACACTGATCACGTGACAGGACAGTCAGTTTGAGAACAATTCCAACATTCAAGCCCGAGTCTACTCCATTTCCGCCTAAAGTAAAATTTATTCTTGATGATCTCACTCTAAATACTAACTTCAGGGAACGTTGTGGACCAACATGCGTCCAGGGCCACCCTGAAGGCGTTAACATTGGCGCAGTGGACCACTTCTGGGGTTAACCTGTTCCACATAGGTATGACCCTGTGTGCGAAGAAGTTGGCCCGTACTTCCAACCTCGCGTGGTTTTGTTGAAGGTTATAGCCATGACCTCGTGTTTTGAGCACGAGAAATCGTAAACAAGTCATCTAGGTTGAGTCCCGATAGACCTCTTACAATTTTAAAAGTCTATCAAATCTCCCCTCACTCGTCTTCACTCCAGCGAAAAGGGATTAAGATCTCCTAACCGCTGCTCATATCTTTTCCTCTTTTGCCCAGTCACCATTCGTGCGGCTAGGCGTTGCACTCTTTCTGAGCATGTTACATCTCTCCTGTAATATGGTGCCCATGCATGTACATAATACTCCATGTGTGGGCGAACAATCGATTTATACAGTGGGACGAAAACCTCAGGCCGTCTGCATGTCACTGTGGCACACAATCTAAACAGCTGCCCCCTACCCTGATTAGCAGCCCTGGGACACTGAGTTGAGGGTTTAAAATATTGGGTCATAAGAACCCCTAGATCTT